CACGCACGCACGCACGCACGCACGCCACCATGTCAGAGTGCAACATTAAACAGACAACTGATACTTATTTAAAAAGCAATCACAGAGAAATGTTAGAATATGGATATTCATTAGCCACGGTCAATTAATCAAAAATAACCACTAACCGTGTGTGTGTGTGTCCTAGCATTACTATCCTTGTGGGGACCTACATCTGTTTACAAAGTCACGTGTGGGGACTCACCTCCCTTATGGGGACATGATGGAGGTCCCCATAAGGGGAATCATTAATTTTAGGGTGAAGACTTGGTTAGGGTTAGGCATGTGTTGCTTGTGGTTAAGGTTAGGATAAGTCTCCAGGAAATGCATGTAAGTCAATCTAATGTCCCCTGTGTGTGTATACATGGTGTGTGTGTGTGTGTGTGTGTGTGTGTGTGTGTGTGTGTGTGTGTGTGTGTGTGTGTGTGTGTGTGTGTGTGTGTGTGTGTGTGTGTGGTCATCTGAAAGTGATTAAAACATGGAGGGGAGCATCTTTTCCTGTGTGCATGTGTTTGTCCTCTCTTTTCCCCCGTCTTCACAGACCCTCAGGGCAGGTTATCAATGTGAATCAAAGACGTTTCAAAACATGTGTGTGTCTCTGTGTGTGTGTGTGTCAGTGTGTGTCAGTGTGTGTGTGTCTGTGTCCACTCAATTAACCCCGTCTTTAGAGATCCTGCCTGCTCCTCCTTGCCCAGCCCCAGAGGCTTTTGTGTGTGTGTGTGTGTGTGTGTGTGTGTGTGTGTGTGTGTGTGTGTGTGTGTGTGTGTGTGTGTGTGTGTGTGTGTGTGTGTGTCATCTATGGATGAGTAGGAAATGTGCTGGGTACATTTTACACATCTAATCTACTGCGTATAAACACACATCATTCGGTTGTTTTGTTAGCTGTCGCTTCTCAATATCAGGACCGCATTTCCCATAAACCCCGCTGTTTTGTTCAGGCTTCATTAGACTATCTGGTACAAAGCAGAAGCAGAACCCAAATAATCCGAACAGAGGGAGAGCGGTTTGTTTATCCAGCAGCTCAGTGGGAGGAGAATCCATATTGACAGCAGAATGGTTATTGCTGAGTAATGCTGAATCACTGCATCTTCCTCCTGCCTATGAGCTCTGACACTTGATCAGATATTCATGCAGGTTTATTTACTGATCTCAGGGAAAACAATTCTGCAGCTCCACTCTATAAGTTTTAGTGCATGTAAATGGTCTGCAAAGGCTAAAAGACGCCACCGTTGGACTTTTTTGTTTACTTCCAGAACATATTGGTAAGCACTTCTATTGGCTAGCTCTCCGACACATTGTAGGTGTATATTTTCTACTTTTTAAATGGTGCTTTAATTCTATTTTGAGATGTTCAAATTATAGTATTGTTTATTTCCACTCTTTAATTTATACTTATGTGCAATGCCTTGTTTTTTTCTATTTTCTTTTATGCTGCTGCAACACAAACGTTTCCCAATTTTGTACCTCGTATTTGATCAAATGTATGATAGATTAAGGGGCGGGACATCTGTAAGCGGTTGACCAATCACAACAGCTAACCATGACAAACTGTTAAGAGAAATTAGAGGGTTATTTACTTTATTTTAAGGTGATTTATGAATTACTGGCATGAAATCCATCCCAATGAAGACTGCCAAAATGCAAAATCACCTCCTTTTGACACCTTTACAACTCCCTATAAAACATACGTTACTCTATAGCAGGGATGGGCAACTTGGATGGTGGTGGGGGCCACATAATGTATGTACTGGCCACCGGGGGGCCGCAGATTCACTTGGAACACACACACACACACACACACACACACACAC